CCCTACCTGGTGTTTGTTATCCCACATGTACTGTAACGTCACATATTCTACACATTCAACAGGACAAAGTTTGGATCCAAAGGCTGAGTGGATCCTGTTGATCAAGAAGAAGTGATGGCTGTCATCCATGGCATAGAAGTGATTGAAATCCAAGAAGATTACTTCCTTGGGGTGCTGTTCAAGAAAGGTGTTAATCTCCTTCAGCCCATCCCATACTTTGATGCCAAACAAGCCATGTATGAAGTAAATCTCTTGTCCTATTTCCCCAGGTTTGGAAGATACACGAAGATCAAAGTAGCGGATCCCACCTTCCAACTGCTCTTTGAAAGTCAGATTTTGAGTCACTGACCATTTCTTCATGATCTTTTTAACCAAAGAAATTCTGGCCAAACGTTTGATGGCTGTGGCTTGGTCTGGTCCCACAGGAGACTTCTCATCAACCCAGTAGCTGAAAGAATCATGTGACCCTAGAAACAAAAGACAAGAATATTTAATTTCAGAAAAACCTGGCTCCCCCAAAACACACATACCCAAGTCCTGTAAACTGAAAAAGTCCTACACGCATGGCAGGGTAACAGAAGAGTTACGCTCAAGTATGGGTCTCTCAGGCTATCCATTACACCTTAATTTTTCCTAACTGTACAACAAGAGCATGCTTAAGCTTCTTGGTTTGAACTGTTTTCTTGTGTGAGCTCCCAAGTTCAATGCACCCTGAAAATCATGACCGTGACAGATAAACATCAGTGGTAAAGGAAGCTTCCTTCTAACCTTACTTCATTTAGAAACTATCAATCTACCTCCAAAGCTTTCCCAGAGCCTGGTACATGTCTGATAGAGATGAAACTCCAGCTTCACTGAAAGAATCTGAAGCTTTATTTTCATTCTACCTGGTAAATCTGATCATGACCTAATACATCAAAGTTTTTGTAAGAGGTATCATCAGTCATGTGATGGACAGAGGGATACATATACGCACATGCCTTACCAGCACATCTCACTTTATTTACCAGCTTGGGGCTAAATTAGTAGTTCGAACAGTTCTTCAGGACAGCAGAGGACAGCCAAACCTCACTTGCTTCCTGCACACTCACTTTGCTGAAGTACAGGGAAAGCACGTTCACCTCCAGTCACCACAAGCAGCTCCTTTTCCAGCTGCCTTTGGGGTACAGAGATCCTGCACCATGCTGCTGGCATCTGCATTTTCCCTTCCTGCATGCCCCAAGGTTTTTGTCCTTGCTTCTGAGACTACACTCTTCTAGAATTTCCTCCTCTACCTCAGCCTGCAACTCTTAAAAATCCTAATTTGTCACTTCCAATGTTAAGACATTTGAGGTGTCCACAGCCTCCTTTACCCAAACCTTTTATTTGTGTACCAGTGCTCCTTTGAAGACTGATGCATTTCCTGTGATGCAAGGTCAAAGCTATAAACAAGATTATGATCTCAACTGGATTATCTCAACAGGATTTTTTAATCCAAGATGGAAGAACAGGCTGTGCGCAAACCAAACATCGGTTCACAATAACCTTAAACGCACTCTTTCTCCATGAATTTCAACTAGTTCAAAAGTACTGAAAAGGAGTTGTGAAGGTTAGTTTACAGGTTTTACAAGTGAACACTAAAACTAATTCTCATCAACTCTTCATGAATTCTTCATGGTCTTTGTAAAAGTATTCCTCTTATGTGGCTTTCCATTCTATCTTCCAGAAACAAGTGACAAAAAAAAAAGTTATTTTTAATTCATGCCAGCTTACGAAGCTATTTAGTACCTGTCACAGTAAACTGCATCACAAAGTACTTGTCTTTTTTTTCCCACCTCCAAATGTGTAACCCCAAACAAAATACAGGATCAAACATGTAGTGAAGGCTAACCAGAAGAAACCAGTTGGCTCATGCTGCATACATCTCCCCATACAACAGAATGAGCCTTTCAAGCTTCTGCAATGTTTGGAACAGAGATTTCAATCACAAGGAGCTTGTCTCCTGCCTCTGAATAAGTCACTTTGCACAAGAAGTCATGGGGGGGGTTGTTTTTCTTTGTGTGGGTGTTTGTTAGTTTGGGTTTTTTAAGTTCTCAATTCTATCCATTTTAATTTCTTCCTCTATTGGGTCACTGTAGAAAATTGTTTAAGACGCTACAATAAGGCCATAAGAAACATTTTCTTTTCATTTTAACTAAGACTGTGCAGCCACCCCTAGAGAGCTGTCTACAGAAGTCACTCACTGTTACGCTCCCTCAGACAGTGTCACTGGTAAGTCTGGTGTATGAAGGAATAACAATTTTATCTGGCATCAAATATATTGTTGTCAGCTCAAGAGCTGCCTAAGCAAATCTGAGCCAAGAAACAGCTTATTTTCCTAAGACTGATCACCTACTTTACAGGTACAAACTCCTTTCCTCTGCAGATTGCCACATACAAGGCACATTTAAGGATACAACGAGCAAATTTCTCCTTGCACTATCACAAACCAAATTCTATTTAGAGCTCCAGAAAGCAACAAGAATAAACAAGCCACGTGCACATTGCAACTTTTTCAACATATATCTTAAGAACTGCACTCCTTAACAGAGCAGCTAATTGAGAAACTGAACTATACATGACATGCTTCTATAGTTAAGAGAAAATCCTTGAAACATTCCTGCCCTGTGGCTCTCCTTAAAAGCCTAGGAAATTGGACTTCTCATTTACAATGAAGTCAACGTGTATACCTAGAGATAACCACATAGAACATGAGCTGGAACACCTAAAAAACAAGCTGCTCTTTTCACAGTTGGTGGAAGACCACCTCCTAAGAAGGACAGGGGAACATCATCAATACCGAGGCTGGAAAGACACAGCAGAAGTTCAATTAGATTTTCAGTGGTCATTTACAGAAGGCCAGCCACCAACTGTGAGAAATATCTAGGCCAAACCAGGACCCAGAACATTTTTACTCCAGTAAGAAAAAAAAAGCAAACTGAAAACCTGAAGCAACAGCACTGGATCCTTGTTGGGCTGAGGGGTAAGAGCTAGGTGAGGATCCACATCATCCACAAGGCCCTTTAGTTTAAGATCACTGTGTTATGTTACCAGCTCAGCCAGTGGCTTTTAATATAGCTTAGCTGTGATGTTAAGCTACATGCTAAGCTGATCACATCATGATGTCAAAATAATCCCTGCTCTCCTTTGCTCTACCCCTAAACTCCATGAAAGACCTAGCCACTCTGTAGGCACAGCATGAGCCAGGCTGGTTGCTGATCCAGCATGATTTTGTTTTGAAAAAAGCATAACCTAAACCAACCCAGTCCTGTACAATTTCAAAGGTAAAGGCCAGAACCTAGACCAGAAGCATGGAGCAGACCAGCCCCATCTTGTCAGCAGCTCAGTGTTGGAGCTGCTAACCACATTCTCAATTAAGGTCTAGCACAAGGATGTGTGAAGATACTCAGATGTTGTAACACTGCAGTAACAGCAACGGGGATGGCAGTTGCTGAACAGAGCAAGCATCACAAAACTTTCAGTGACATACACAGAGAAGACTTTTCTGTGTGTAAGAAATCCTTTACAGCTTGTGCTCCCGCTCACCCAAACGGTGGGCATCTCTCCAAATACACTGATCACTTTCTCAGGAAAGTTATCAATAAGTCTCCTGAGCAAGACATTTCAGATTATACCTGTCATCTTAAAAATAACACCCTGTATTGACTCAAGCCCATTCCTTAAACTTGCTGTGAACAAAGTAACTACAAACCTAGGTATGTGTAACTTCCATCTTACAGACTGAGAAATCAAAAGGCACAGAAGAGTCAAGAAACTTAGTCTTTGTTGTCCTTTAGGTGAACAGAGCCCAGAACCCCAGTCTGAACTGCCTCAAGGGCATGTTCTTGCACATGCACCACACTTCTTGAGTCACTGTACATAAGAACAGATTAACATTCAGTTTGCAAACCTTACTGAGCTGCTCCAGTGACATGGCATCATTCTGGTGCTCAGTCCTTCCTGAAACCAAGCTAGGCACAGGAAATAAAGAGATGATGATTTGCCAATGGCTTCCAATAGGCCAAAGATGCATAGTGTAAAGCAGCAAACATTAAGAATGAAAGAGTCTGCACATTCAAAATTTAAAAAAAAGTGGATTGCTAATCAACTAGCAGGTCTTCCAGAGCAACAGACAATGGCTGCTCTATTCTGGTTTCATTTCTTTCATCTGACAAAGGTTGAAGCTTTAAGTAAAGCACTCACATCCCATCAGATGTCCAGATACTTAACCATCAAAGGCTATGATATACTACAATAGTATTAAAGAGGCATCTTCCAGATGCCAGATTGTTAAAATGATGGATAGTCCTCTTAATTTTATCCCAGCAAGTGCAACCGTGGATTAATTTTTATTAATATGTTTAAACCCCTTTTTAGTCTCCTTACACTAATTTCTCAAGTTAATTGTATGTTAAATAGAGCACTTCTCAATTCAATTTGTATGTTAAATAGACTGTATTTCACTGTTCAGGATGGCTTTTTTGTTGAAGCCTTTGTGCTAATTGTTAGAAAGCAGCCTTTTATCACCACATCTGCAGCAAAGTCTGACTTTCTAGTGTATCTATTTGTCATGCTACTTAGTCACAGATAGTCAAATTAACCCACATTGTAGCTCAAACAAATGACACTAATCAACAGAATGTTATTAAGCCTTGAATTTCACAATTACTAGCTATACCACTTTGTATTATCTTTCATTTCCACACCAGTACTTTCTCCATACACAGCTGCAGCGCAGGGATAGGAATCAGCATCATCTCACCAACACTGGTGTCCTTTTACAAGCTTGTAGATTTACCTTTAAGGGACATAAAAATATGTTTACATGTCATGCAAAACAGAGATCTTCCAACACGGAACATACTTGTGCATTGCAAATAACTTGAAAACAAGACAAGAACTCCTGGTTTTTCAGATACAAGCATGTCTACAGTTGTATCACTAGTGTCCCTGATTGCTGGGCTGTGGAGTAGTCAGAAGCAGCAGTTAAAGACACTTTCTGCAAAAGGCTATCTAACCAAGAAACCAGAATGAAAGCAGAAGGGCAGGAGCACATACTGTCAGTAAGTTTAACTAGATCAGACTAATTTGTTTTGATCTTCACATTAACGGAATACTAACAGAATGAAAAAAAAATGCAAGAAGCCATCTTGTTATGCTAAAGATTTCTAAGCAGCAAGGTCATCATACTTTACCAACCCATTAAAAGCATTGAAAGGTCATTTATGGACAAAGAATCACCCTAGCTGTAGTGATGCCAAGCTTCTTGAAGCAAGCTTTGCCCACTACACAAAGTACATTCCCCATATATTACAAAACAGCGCACATGACAACATAGCAAGCACTTAGCCAAGCCATCTAGAAGCACAGCAAGCAACTTCCAAAAACCCAGGATGCAAGCGCTAGCAAGTTAAGGCCATCCCACAAATGTTCTTCTAAACCAAATGTCCTGCGTGTGCCAGAACTCCGGGGAAAAAGGGGATAAACTTAAAGTGCCTCTCAAAGCCCACAAGTCCTCAGGATTCAGGTCATTAACAATCCAGATTTTCTAATCAAAAGATTAACATCTCAACAGCTCTTCACTAATGAAAAGCAAATCAAATAGTTGATATTAACTTGGCCACCAAAAGGAGAGGCAAGAATATCAAAAATCCTATTGATAGTTAACTATCTAAAACTATTGAGATTAGTATCTATATTTTAATAGACTCCTAAAAGAATCCTTTAGGTATTCTTAATGCAGTCTCATTAGGGAGGACAAAGCCTAGTACAGACCAAATCCTCTTAGGAAAACTTCCTATCAAAGAATTACCCCGATTTCCCCCCCCTGCCCCTTTCAGGGTGGGAGGTGGCACAGGGGGAATAAAAGGGGTACAAAGAGAAAGGGACTGCTTAAAACCATCTCAGACACAGTGTCACATGGCAGTTTGCTTTTCTTTCCAGCCAGGAGAAATCCATTTGGCACTGGCTAGAGTTATTGCCATTAAGGGTTTTTCTTGTGATTTAGCAATGTCTTCCTGCTTATCAGCAACCTCAGCTGTCTGCACTGCAAAAGCAGGAAGTGGCAGTACTTCACCATGTCAAAGCCAGAATGGATCCACCTGCTCTGAAAAGAAAAAACCTTCAGTTGAGAGTCCTATATTCCTCTTCTGTGACCATTCAGAAATGTGTGGACCAAGGGCTCATTCTCTTCTGAG